GCACGTTGAGTCACTTTTAAGGACAAACCCTTCTAATCCTTTTCAAAATCATCTTATATTTGCAGTTCCCCATTTCATCAAAACACTTCACCAAAACAACACCTTGTAACTGCACAGAGCATCGGGTGAATGTGTGGTTGAGGTCGCCAACATCACACTTTCACCTGATGCCCTCTGTCTTATTGCTCAGCAACGTTACTAACTTGGCTTGCACTTTCTGATGGCCACAGCAGTGGCAGCAGTGGTGTGGGGTGGACTGTTTTGGACTGCCAGCAGTCAAAACAGTTGCTGTGGGCTCAGCATTTCTACGCTGTGAGCCGGGAACCCATTCTATGGAATGGTTTTCTGGGGTCCTGCAATGTCACTGCAGGTAGCTGAGACATTCTGGCCCCTACGTATGAAGGATTATACTAAAGAAGCCTACTGTTCTAAAAAACAGGCAATGCAGCAAGGTTGGGTGAGGGGGATGGAGGTTGCTTCCATGAGTCAAAAAAACCATCTCTGATTTTAGCTCTCTGAGAAAGCTGTGAGATTCTGTGCAAGTGGCAGCTGTGGGAGAAGGGTAGGGTCTGAGGTACACTTGGAGACATGTCCACTTGGCATTGGCACTGCAGATTCAGGGCCTATGGTCCCCCACTAGGCACTTTGCCTAGATCTACTTTCCTCTGACTACCTTTTATGTGCCTGGATTTCCCTAGTCCCCCTTTCAAACCCCTGTTTGTTTTCACTTTCTAAGGTAGAGACGCGAAGTAGGGTTAATCTCTCTCAATTCCGACTGATGTGTAGTAGCTCTTTGGAGTTGTGATTTGAGAAAGGTTTTAAAGAAATCATTGTCCTTAATAAGAAATAGTTCTGTGATTGATTAAAAATGTCTGTCATAGGCACAAGGACTGGTGTCTATGAAATGCATGCCAGGGACTTATGTCTCTGTACTAAGTATAGTGAGTACAGGCTTGATGTATTCTTGAGGGATCTTTGGAGACCAAGTTTATGTTTATTTTATATTCTGTTTTGTTCTAGAAAAGATTTAAGAATTTGAGGGGTTGGGCACAGGAATGTTAGGACCTGTGGAAAGTTGGAGGGAGAGATTATTTTGAAGAGGCTGGTACAAGAGACTCCTAACCAAGAACTATGCTTTTATCTTGGTATGATGAAGCCCAGTGTTTAGCAAGTGATTATTGGGCTTACTGATTAAACAGATTCAGGAAGACTGGGTGGAATGGGGTGGGTCGTAGGCATGGTGGGAATTTCAGGCAGAGCATTTCTGTGTTGCACACCTGGTGTAGTTCCCCCTGGTCAACAGCTGATAAGATTGTATGTTGAAAAGCCAAGGAGAAATATACTTCCATCCACAGACACATACCTCCTTCAGGGTTAATCAAAGAACCTATATTATGTCAGGACCATTGTCTCTCACTCAGCTCTACCCAGAAGTCTCTGGTGTACAACTTTACCAAGACGGAGAAAAAAATCAGTGATCTGGTGTGACACGAGCTAGTGATGTTATTTTGGGAAGATCAGCTCTTGTCTGTCCTTGGAAAACAAGATTAATTACTTCTTCATATCTTAAGTGATTTAAACTGAAGCCAGATCTTGATTTTCACTATGAATCATTAACAGGTTGCTCTTGGACAATGCTATTGTCTGTTGATTTAGGGGATCATGTCTGGCCAAAGCCAGTCACCTCTAGCTTCTGATGGCCTGTGGGTTTTAGAAACTGACCGATGCTCCCATCAGTACTCCCCTGTCAATTACACACAACTGATTTCACTTACACATCAACATGGCAACATACCTTTTCCATCATTAAGCTCCTGCTCCCTTCCTCATTCGGAAACTGGGAGAATTTGAAAGGAAAAGAAGGCATACGTTTTCATTCACCTGCAAATCCCAGGAGAACATCCTTTTGGACACCTATTGAGTTTCTTGCCACTCTGGGGTATACCAAGATTTTCCCGAGTTGCAAGCAAAGGTTTCCTCCTTCTTGGGCACAGGGTTGAAGGTTCCCCTGGCTCCTAGGCCAAGGGTCCAGGGTGTAGGGATAGAGTTGGAGTGGAGGCAGGAGGGCAGTATTAAAAACCCAGCAATGTTATTTGTTATCCAACTCTGTGTTGCAGTCTCAGAGAAATGAATTTCTTACTTGTCTCCATGAGACATAATCCCGGTGAGAGCATCTTGGCAGTTTCACTGTCTCGGGAACCTTCTAGAGGTGATAGAAGGCTGGCTATAAATGTGACTGTAGTTGCCTCATCCTTTGTTTTCAGGCAATTCAAAATTTCTATTTCTTTCCACTGATCACGATTGTTGGTGTATTGGCATTGCCAACCAAATTTTAAAGTGTGTGAACATCAGTGGGCTTTATCACCACTCACCTCCTCTAACTGGAAAGACTTGTTCTAACACCACAGAGGAGCCTCCTCCCCGAAGTTTCTGAGTGAGCTCAGAGCAGAACATCGGGTTCTAGACAGAAGGCCTTGGAGGAGGTCGAGAGGGGGGTGGTGC